CATGAGGTTTATTAGAAAGAAGAAGAAGAAACCATTGGAATGGGGGGGCTTGTCTGTAATCAAATAAACAATAATAAAAGCAAATTATCTCAAAAAGTGAATTATAAAGACAAATGTTCCAACTTCCAAGCATTCCTCTCAATCTCAAGAGAAAATGGAAACATATTAAGCAACTTGTAAATAATTACACGTTTAATTTACACTCAAAAGCAACAACAAACTGGTAAGAAAATAGTGAAATATAGGTAAATTATGCACCAGGCATTCAACAGTTAAAATAATCTTGCATGCATAGTAAATGGGAAGTTACACCAACCGTGACAACAATGCTTTTGTCTTCATTGTACAGTGGCTGATCCCCGGAGGCAGGATCAACTATTGCTAGTCGTTGATGCGCAAGATAAGAATCACCATGACAATGCAATCCACTCCAATCCGGTCCTCTGTGACGCAACCTACAATTACAGAACGCCAAATTACATACAAGTCGGGAATATTACAATATCACAAAATCCCTAGAATGAAATAACTTTCCAATGAAAAGTGCAGACTACAGTTTATATGTCCACTCTGTGATTCATTTGATCAGATACAAAATGACAATCAAATACACATATATCATTGCTACTTACTGCTAGAATTTGGCTACTATATTCATATATGTGTACTTGCTACTAAGATTATCTTTAAACCAAGCACATGTTTTACTTTGGGCCAGTTTGGACAGGGTTATTTGGCTAAAAGGGCTGAATAACAATAACAACAACAACATTACCCCAATGCCGCAAAGGCTCCCGCCTATGGTGGGGTAAGGGGGGTTGGATGTATGCAGTCTTACCCTTGGACAAAATTGCATGGACCGAGTGTTGCTTCATAACAGAGGAGCAAAGACAATTTAGTGAGTCATTTTGCTTTTTTCCACGATATTCCCAAGCAAAAAAATAATGAGTCTTTGGCTAATATGGCTGAATATACTAAAAAAAATTAAGGGCAAAGCGTTTGGTAGAACTGATGTCCACCAAATTACCATGTGAAAGACTACTTGTATTCTTATTCTGATAATAGCAAAATATGAAGATAAATGCTATTATGCTACCAAATCCACCACTTACCAAAACATGGACAGGACATATTTGCAATACTAAAATCGTGAAGGATGGCTGTTAATGTGTAAAGGATCGATATTTATTGCATTTTGCAATTTGGGAAGTCTATATATGGCCCCAAAAAATCATACCAAATAATGGTGCACACCAAACTTCATTTATTGGTAATGAAATGTTACTCCATTAGTAACTAATGTATTGAGCTAAAAGGAAGCAAGGATAGAGCTTTGCCAAGTATATACCGTACACGCGACAGCCAAACATACCCAAATACCTAAACATGATTTGTCATTCTCACATGAAAGAAGTGTAAAATAGTGAACCAGAAATTAGCGAAAAAAATATATCTTTACCGTTGAAAGATAAATTAACAGGAAACAACAACGTTTCAGTCTAAAGTCAAACATTAAAGCACGTAGGCATTGAAAGAAAATGGCATCTAAATTAAGCTCCAATACACCTTCTAGAAAGCTCGATGATTCTGGACCGCTTAGCCTGAGAGTTGTCTGTGCAACCGAACACCGCAAGAATCCCACACATGATTGGCGACGCCTGTCTCTCTCTCTCAAAGAAAAGACGGCGGGCGTTGTATATGCTGCCCGTGAGGAATTCAGGGGTTGCAATGAAATAAAAATTGAGGCGTGAAAAATGGAATCTTATTTCAAAAGATTCCGAGTGTATCTCATTGTTAGGGTTTAGCATATTTTTACTTAGACTATAATTTGGCTGGTTTGGTCTGGTCTGGTTTGAACTGGTCTGGTCTGGTAAGGTCTGGTTTCTTTGTATTTTTATAACTATCCAATTCTGGTCTGGTCTGGTCTGAATTGGTCTGGTCTGGTCTGGACTGGTCTGGTCTGGTTTGGGGCAAATTACAGTCCAAGTAAAAACATCTTTAATTAGTGCTGAGGATTCGTGGCGGCGGGTCCCAGCTTGTGGATCTTTTGTACCCGCGTTCGTCAATTTAAAAAATAAATACATAAAATTTAATCCTTGTAATTTAGGGAGCGCAGATCGTTTCTCCTAGCCTCCTAGGGCAGCCGCCTCTAGCCTCCTAGTCTTCGGTGGTTCTTGTTCGCATATCTGGCCGCGGAGCAGTGGTCTGCTTTTGGCTAAGGTAGAGCGATCACGAGTTTTTCTCTCTAGGGCTTTGACTATGTCGGCCGCTGGAGCCTTTTTCCGATTTCGACTTTAACGAAGATCGGCTTTGTTATCCCTCGGTCGCTGGTGCTCGACTGGAGTTCAGGTCAGACGCGGAGGGCGGAGATCGGTGGAGGAGGGCAGATTTGTTGTCATGACTCGAGGAGATCGGCGCTGTGGTCAAGGTTCGAGGATGCGGCGTTGATGTCGTCGTTGGAGAAGATCGGCGCCGCCTGTCCACTTACTCTGGTCGCACGGAGCAGGGATGAGTTTGGTTATGCAGGGACGGAGGATTGATGCATGGTCTTTGGCAGCCAAAGGTCATGGAGGATCAATTAGCATGGTACCAGTGATACGACCTCCTCCTGAACCACCACCATGGGATGCACGAGGTGCTAGAGTTCGTGAACGTTTTTCTTGTAGTTTTTATCTGTTTGTTATTTGTTATCTTGCGTCCATTTTTGTTGTTGGGTTTGACAGTTTGTTTGAGTTTTTTGCCACTCTTTATGTCATTGAGTATGGTTGGATCTATGGGAATAGTTTTGGCTGTGTCAAGCCCACTACATGGTTAGCGATTCGTGTTGCTCTCTCAGGGGTGACCGTCTCAAAGTCTCACCATAGGGTTACAGTCGTAGTTGTTGGAGTTTCAGTTGGTGTCTGTTTTATTTTCCCTTTGTTTGATGTAATGATCCTGATGAATCTTTTGATATGAATAGAGGCATGTTTTGATGATAAAAAAAAAATAATCCTTGTATATATATATATATATATATCTATATATATTTTTATCCTTTCAAAAAAAATATATTTTTATCATAACGCGTTTATATCATTAAAATAGCGTTCTGCAGGGGTATAAAACGTGAAAGGACCACATGTAATCATCCACCCTTGGTCGAGACTCTGAGTTAATCACCCAATACAAAACAATATAACTCGCTAGACCTAACTTGGGCAAATTAAAGCTAACGACGATTACCGTAAACCTCTCAACCCCCAAACTTAATGCAAGAGTTTTACAATAGAAAAAGTAGTAAAAACAAAACATAATAGTCTGACCGTGGAGTAAAACGAAAATAAATAAAATAAACTAACAGGGCAACCGAATCCATGCTTCAAACATAATCCTAGGCGGTGGCTCATGAGGGGGACGGATCATCAACTCTTCATCTTGAAGCATTCCTCGCAAAACCATCACCACAATTTTCGCTGGCATCTTCTTAATCCCAATGATTATAGCCCGAATGAACCCGGAATCCATGCTTACCTTCCTAATCGAAACCAGTGGTAAAAAAAGGGGAGTCCATAACCCGAGCAAAATCACGACCCAAATCTGCTTTCTCCCGAAATGCCCGTCCCCAACCCTTCCTAAACCTGATGTCGAGCAAGTAAGAGTGAAGCAGAGAGGGTAAACCGATCTTCAATCGGCGAGATTGAAACAGTGACTCCCGCACGAGGTTAGCAAAAACGTTTGCTTTAATGATTCTAAAATGTTGATCTACTCGATAACATTGGAAGAGTATGCGGGATACTCGTGAAAGAATCACCTATGTGAGAGAGAAGGGGGCCGCTTCAAAGGAGAACTGTAATGGCTCAGTTCTTTAGAAACTCTTGCAGAACCAGGACGGTGACCCATGGCCAAAACGGGCACACCCATGAGAACGGAACAAAGTTGGAAGGTTCTTGTGTAAAGATAAGTCAATGTTTACACGACGGCAGTATAGTTCAAAGACATCGAGTCTACTAGACAGCCAGTAAATAAACGAGTCTTTACAGCGGAAGGTTCAAAGGATTAAACCTACCTCTCCGTATACAAGGATCATCCGGTGAACACAACGTGTCCTCCTATCTTCGTGTCTTTTTTAAGTCTCGAAAATCAATTTTCATTCATGTGGGGGATTGTTGGAAAAATGTGTGAAAAATTGCATTAAATGGCTATTTTGGGACAATTTTTTGAGTGGGGTCCACTTCCGATTTGGGTCGGGTCAAAGTAGTTTCGGATTGTCCTTGTTAAGGGCTACAATTCGATATATGGTACGCTCAAAACGGATAACGGGTGAATGAGAAATCGTTTTTCGAAGTTTACCCGTTAGAATGGAAAAACTGGGAAAAAGGATGGGTTTCTAGTGTGTTAATTTCTCACACCGGAAAACCCAAGGGATTTACAACCCTTTATAAAGGGACTCTCCCCTTAAGGAGTTAAGATTTCTAAGGGTAAAGGCTCTCTCCACGCGCGCAGGGGGGTGCAAATCAAATCCCGAATTCGGAGAAGAAAAACCGCGACTTGCGTGCGCGGGCGACCTGCGGACACGAATGTCGTCCAAAAATCCATCTCTCAAGAGATACGGATAATTTTTGTTTTCTTCCCGGAACGTTTATTTTTTCTCAGTTGACAGAAGTGCCTAGCGGCAGAAGACCTCGTTCTCTGGTGGCACCAGAATACCTCGATCTCTGGTGGCTTCCACCAGAACACGTCGGTCTCTGATGGCCTCGATCAGAATACCTCGCATAGGTATTCTGTTGGCTTCGACCAGAACACCTCGTAGAGTTCTGGTGGCACTTCTGAACCATTACAGCAATAAATGCCCAACGTTTATATCTTTTAATGCAGCGTTAAATGGACAATTCATGGACAATTCAATGCCCAACGGACTGGTCATTCATGTCCAACGTTCAGGTCCATTAATTCACTATTTTCACACAACAAATCCTCCTATATAATGGCTGGCAGGTGGTTTGCAACAACACACGTTCTTACACGAATTAATACACTCCAAGCACCTTTTGCACCTCTAAAAACACACTGCTAGCATTCTGAAAAATTCCTCTGTGTTCATACTGTGTTCTCGTTCGCTGGAACTCTTGTTTGTGTGCTCAAACATTAGTTCGTAGTCATCGTATCCTGGGAAACGATTGTTGCAACGCTCCTAGCACCGTGGGAGGCAACAAATACGTTTTAAGGACATCGTGCGTAGCACGAGCTTTGACTAATTCTGCTTGATCTCCTTTCTTGTTTTTCTCTAGTCATTTTATTTAATTAATTTATTTTAATTAATTTTCTTTATTTTCCGAAACACACCCAACAATCTTAAAACATATTTGTTTGCTTAAGCTTGTACCATACGGGTACAATCTTAAAACGTATTTGGGTTGCTACTCGGAGATTGTTATACCGAGGTATACAATCTTAAAACGTATTTTGTTGCTAAGCTTGTATCATACGAATACAATCTTAAAAACGTAGTTTGTCACTTCTATGAACGAACTTAAATCTTTTTTTGGGCTTTCGAAAAAACGTTAAGAAATCGAAAATGACTTCTCAAGAAAACGAGATTGGTGTTGGGCAGAATGTTCTGAACGACAATCACTCTGAAAGCGGAGCTCCGGTGAACAATAGTTCACAACGCGGAGCATCTGCTTTGAACCAAAGGGTTATCCCTATGGTTACCGTGCCAAGCAACTCTGTGGAGAAACCCGAGAAATTCAATGGGTTAAACTTCAAGAGGTGGCAGCAAAAGATGCTATTTTATCTCACTACTCTCGGTCTTGCACATTTCTTGACCGAGGACGCGCCGGTTGTAACCGGGAGTGAGGTGGATGTGCAATCTCTCAATGCAGTTGAGGCATGGAAGCATTCTGACTTCCTTTGCCGAAACTATGTGTTGAACGGGCTGCATGATGCTTTGTACGACATGTATAGCAAATTAGCTACGGCTAAGGAGCTATGGAATGCTTTGGACCACAAATATAAAAGCGAGGATGCCGGCGCAAAGAAATTTGTTGTTGGTCGATTCCTTGATTTTAAAATGGTGGATTCGAAGACGGTCTTGAGTCAAGTTGAGGAGATGCAAATGATCTTCAACGAAATTCGAGATGAAGGAATGACAGTTAGTGAGTCTTTCCAAGTGGCGTCAATTATTCATTTGTTGCCGCCGGCTTGGAAGGATTTCAAGAACTACCTTAAGCATAAGCGAAAGGAAATGAACTTGGAGCAATTGATCCTCCGTCTGCGGATTGAAGAGGATAACCGGAAGAATGATGGGAAACTCCCAATCGTTCATGGCGCCAAGGCAAACGTGGTGGAGCATGCAAAAGGCTCCAAAACCAAAAATAATGGGAAGAGCAAGCTCGGTCCCAAAGGAGGCGTTTCCAAACACAAGTTTAATGGAAAATGCTTCAATTGCAACAAGAACGGACACAAGTCCTCGGATTGCAAGGCACCAAGGAAGAAGAAAGACTCCCAAGTCAACTTGGTGCAAGGTGGGCAAAAGGATGAAGACATCGTCCTAGCGGCCGTGGTTACGGAAGTCAACCTCGTTGGATCCAACTCCAAAGAGTGGTTTGTGGACACCGGTGCTACCCGGCATATTTGCTCAAATCGGGAGTTATTCATAACTTTTGAGTCATCAAATGGTGAGAAAGTGTGGATGGGAAACTCGGTTCATTCCGCGGTTGAAGGCGTGGGCAAGGTGGTCCTGAAGATGACTTCGGGCAAGGAGCTGACTCTAAACCAAGTTTTGTTCGTTCCGGAAATACGTAAAAACCTTATTTCCGGTTCGTTGTTGAACAAACATGGCTTCCGCATGGTTTTTGAGTCGGACAAATTAGTTTTGTCCAAGTCGGGAATGTATGTGGGCAAGGGATATGCATGTGACGGGCTGTTTAAGCTCAATGTAACGACTATTATTATTAATAATAATAAAATCCCTTCTGCTTACTTGCTTGAGTCTTCCAATGTGTGACATGGTAGACTAGGACATGTTAATTTTAATTCTATACGTAGATTAATAAACATGGAACACATTCCTAAATTCACAATTGATGTGAAGCACAGATGTGATATTTGTGTTGAGGCAAAACTAACGAAAACGTCTTTCAAATCGGTTGAAAGAAAAACGGAACCACTAGAATTAATTCATAGTGACGTTTGTGATTTTAAATCAATACAAACACGTGGCGGTAATAAATATTTTATTACGTTTATCGATGATAGCACTCGCTATAGCTATGTTTATTTGTTGAAAAATAAACACGAAGCAATCGATAAATTCATTCTTTATAAGAATGAAGTGGAAAACCAACTTAATCGACGGATTAAAACGGTTAGAAGTGATCGAGGTGGTGAGTATGAAGCACCAATTGGTGACTTTTGCGCTAGTGTGGGTATAGTACACGAACGTACCGCACCCTATTCACCTCAATCAAACGGTGTTGCTGAACGAAAGAATCGCACATTGAAAGATATGATGAATGCGATGCTAGTAAGTTCGGGCCTGCCACAAAACATGTGGGGCGAAGCAATCTTGACAAGCAATTACCTTTTAAATAAGGTTCCCCGGAAAAAATATGATAAAACTCCGTACGAGTTGTGGAAAGGCAGACGGCCTTCCTATCAATATTTAAAAGTGTGGGGGTGTCTTGCTAAGGTGCTTGTACCAACACCTAAGAAAATAAAAATAGGTCCAAAAACGGTGGATTGTATTTTTATTGGATATGCACAAAATAGTAGTGCTTATCGGTTTTTAGTGTACGATTCGAATAATCCGGATGTACATAAAAACACAATAATCGAGTCAAGGAATGCATCGTTCTTTGAAGACGTATTTCCATGCAAGTCCAACGATGGACCTAGCACGTCAAAACGAACATTTGACGTAGCTATGGAAAATACTAGTGAGGGATCCGGTGAAGAACCCGAACCCCGACGTAGCAAACGTGCTAGAGTTGAAAAATCCTTCGGACTGGATTTTCTCACTTACTTGGTAGAATTCGATTCGAATATTCTAACTTGTATGGTAGAAAATGAACCGGATTTTCTAACATGTTTGGTAGAAAATGAGGCACGGACTTATACGGAAGCCGTAACATCTACCGAAGGACCAATGTGGAAAGAAGCCATCAAAAGTGAGGTGGATTCTATCCTAAAAAATCACACATGGAATTGGTTGATCTCCCTCCGGGATGTAAACCTTTGGGATCCAAGTGGATTTTTAAACGTAAAATGAAATCGGACGGTTCCATTGATAAGTATAAGGCCAGACTTGTAATCAAGGGATACAAGCAACGCGAGGGCCATGATTACTTTGACACGTATTCTCCTGTGACGAGAATAAATTCCATTAGGATGATACTAGCAATTGCCGCTTTGCGGAATTTGGAAGTTCATCAAATGGACGTAAAAACCGCTTTTCTAAACGGCGATATAGACGAAGAAATCTATATGGAACAACCTGAGGGTTTTCGTGTACCAGGCCAAGAAAAGAAGGTTTGTAAATTAATTAAATCATTGTACGGATTGAAACAAGCCCCTAAACAGTGGCACGAAAAGTTCGATCATGCAATGTTAATTAATGGGTTTAAAATAAACGAAAGTGACAAATGCGTCTATGTGAAAAGCACGGTAGAAGGCTATGTCATTTTATGTTTATACGTGGATGATATACTCATCGTGGGTAGCAATAATCTAATGATTAATTCTACCAAAAGCATGTTAAATTCTAAATTTGACATGAAGGATATGGGGTTGGCCGATTTAATCCTTGGGATTAAAATAATTAGAGGACCTGACGGTTTGACGCTAAGCCAATCTCATTACGTTGATAAAATCCTTACTAAATTTAATAAGGATGATTATCAAGAGGCAAGGACGCCATTAGATAAAAACGTACACCTGACCAAAAATCGTGGAGAGTGTATTTCTCAAGTAGAATACGCTAGGATTATTGGCAGTTTAATGTATCTAATGAGTTGTACCAGGCCTGATATTGCCTTTGTGATTAGTAAGCTTAGTAGATATACTAGCAACCCCGGTGATGAACACTGGAAGGCAATAGTAAGGGTTTTGAGGTATTTACGGAAAACCCAAAACCTTGGACTGCACTACGGAAGATATCCAGCTGTACTTGAAGGGTATAGCGACGCTAGTTGGATATCTGACATTAAGGACTCAAAATCCACAAGTGGATATGTTTTCACTTTGGGAGGTGCAGCCGTGTCGTGGAAATCCTCGAAACAAACGTTAATAGCTAGATCCACGATGGAATCTGAGCTAATAGCCTTGGATAAGTGCACTGAAGAGGCTGAATGGCTATGCCATTTTCTCGAGGATATTCCAAGTTGGGAGAAGCCTGTCCCTCCAATATGCATACATTGCGATTGTCAAGCGGCAATTGGAAGGGCACAGAGCAATCTCTATAATGGTAAGTCTAGACACGTCCGTCGTAGACATAATACCATTAAACAACTTCTCACAACGGGTGTTATCACTGTTGACTACGTGAAGTCAAAGGATAACATAGCGGATCCGCTAACCAAGGCATTGGATAGAGAATTGTTGGAGAAGTTGATGCGAGGAATGGGATTAAAGCCCGTGAATTGAAAAGTTCTATAGTGGATACCCAACCTAGTTGGTCCTAGGTTCAAATGGGACAACTAAATTATAGAGCGAAGGATGGTCACTGTGGGGGTCCCGGACTCCTACCCACTCCTCGTTGAAACAGTGACTCCCGCACGAGGTTAGCAAAAACGTTTGCTTTAATGATTCTAAAATGTTGATCTACTCGATAACATTGGAAGAGTATGCGGGATACTCGTGAAAGAATCACCTATGTGAGAGAGAAGAGGGTCGCTTCAAAGGAGAACTGTAATGGCTCAGTTCTTTAGAAACACTTGCAGAACCAGGACGGTGACCCATGGCCAAAACGGGCACACCCATGAGAACGGAACAAAGTTGGAAGGTTCTTGTGTAAAGATAAGTCAATGTTTACACGACAGCAGTATAGTTCAAAGACATCGAGTCTATTAGACAGCCAGTAAATAAACGAGTCTTTACAGCGGAAGGTTCAAAGGATTAAACCTACCTCTCCGTATACAAGGATCATCCGGTGAACACAACGTGTCCTCCTATCTTCGTGTCTTTTTTAAGTCTCGAAAATCAATTTTCATTCATGTGGGGGATTGTTGGAAAAATGTGTGAAAAATTGCATTAAATGGCTATTTTGGGGCAATTTTTTGAGTGGGGTCCACTTCCGATTTGGGTCGGGTCAAAGTAGTTTCAGATTGTCCTTGTTAAGGGCTACAATTCGATATATGGTACGATATATTTGGGTCAGCAGTTTTTCCAGTTAGAATGGAAAAACTGGGAAAAAGGATGGGTTTCTAGTGTGTTAATTTCCCACACCGGAAAACCCAAGGGATTTACAACCCTTTATAAAGGGACTCTCCCCTTAAGGAGTTAAGATTCCTAAGGGTAAAGGCTCTCTCCACGCGCGCAGGGGGGGCAAATCAAATCCCGAATTCGGAGAAGAAAAACCGCGACTTGCGTGCGCGGTCGACCTGCGGACACGAATGTCGTCCAAAAATCCATCTCTCAAGAGATACGGATAATTTTTGTTTTCTTCCCGAAACGTTTATTTTTTCTCAGTTGACAGAAGTGCCTAGCGGCAGAAGACCTCGTTCTCTGGTGGCACCAGAATACCTCGGTCTCTGGTGGCTTCCACCAGAACACCTCAGTCTCTGGTGGCTTCCACCAGAACACGTCGGTCTCTGATGGCCTCGATCAGAATACCTTGCATAGGTATTCTGCTGGCTTCGACCAGAACACCTCGTAGAGTTCTGGTGGCACTTCTGAACCGTTACAGCAATAAATGCCCAACGTTTATATCTTTTAATGCAGCGTTAAATGGACAATTCATGGACGATTCAATGCCCAACGGACTGGTCATTCATGTCCAACGTTCAGGTCCATTAATTCACTATTTTCACACAACAAATCCTCCTATATAATGGCTGGCAGGTGGTTTGCAACAACACACGTTCTTACACGAATTAATACACTCCAAGCACCTTTTGCACCTCTAAAAACACACTGCTAGCATTCTGAAAAATTCCTCTGTGTTCATACTGTGTTCTCGTTCGCTGGAACTCTTGTTTGTGTGCTCAAACATTAGTTCGTAGTCATCGTATCCTGGGAAACGATTGTTGCAACGCTCCTAGCACCGTGGGAGGCAACAAATACGTTTTAAGGACATCGTGCGTAGCACGAGCTTTGACTAATTCTGCTTCATCTCCTTTCTGTTTTTCTCTAGTCATTTTATTTAATTAATTTATTTTAATTAATTTTCTTTATTTTCCGAAACACACCCAACAGGTTTTGGCTTCATGTCCCCCTACCGTGTATTGTTCTCTTGATTGATAAAATCTTTATTTAAAAAAAAATGATCGACACACTGCTGATAATATTTATATTCTCATTGAACGTATTTTAATTGAGTATAATTTGATTAGTAAGATGTTTGCTATGGGTTTTGATAATGCTAGAATAATACTGCTGTTATACCTAGATTGTGTGAATTGTGGTTCTTCTACTTTGATGGGTAGGTTTTTTCATCAGCGTTGTGCATGTCATATTCTCAATTTATGTGTAAAAGACAGGCTAGCCGCGTTAGGAGATGTTATGGAGATAGTGAAGGGGGGAATTAGACTTATTTGGGCTAGTAATCCACCTAAAATGCAATGGCGTAATTATTTGAGGGAAAGATGTGTCAAATATTGTGCTTTTCCTAAAGATTTGTCTATTCGTTGAAATAATACTTATAACTTAATTGATGTACTTATTAGATTTAAAGACCATTTCCCTGCTTTATTAAAAGAATATGTTAACTACATTATAAACCCAGCTGACATCGACACTATGCAAAAAATTGTGAATGTTTTGGTATATTTTAATAATGCAACTCAAACTTTTAGTCATGTTTATAAAACTACCGCAAACCAATTTTTTTGTTGAACTTGTTAATCTCGCCGGTGCTTTTTGTGAATTTTCTGATGCCTCATACGTTAGTTATTTTTGTTCTTTCATGAAAGACAAGTTTTTAAAATATTATTCACATATTCCACGTATATATATGGTATTGCATTTATTCTTGATCCTCGTTTCAGACTTAATGTTTTGCTCCAATGTTTAGAGTACTATTATGCTTCTTTTTTTGGTCCATTTCCTACGTACGAAGATAAACCCATAGATCCTAAACAAGAATACAACGAGATTAGTAATTTATTTCATCAATTATTTAACGAGTTTCATGCACAATATGGTAAACCCCCCTCCCCCGGCACGAACATCTTCATCTAAAGGAAAATCATTTTTGAAATCCACATTTGACAATCTTATGAAAAAATAAATCAACTCCCGTTGTTGAACAAAGCTCGATTAACGAGCTTTCTATGTATCTAACATTTCCTGTTGACTATGAAGAAGGGGATGACTTTGACGTTCTAAAGTGGTGGAAGGAAAAAGAAAGAACGTTCCCGATTTTATTAAAGATGACTAAGCAAGTGTTAGCAATGTCGCTATCAACCGTTGTCGTGGAACAAGAATTTAGTACGGCCGGCAAACGCTAACGGATTATATTACAAGATTGAGCGCAAACTCACTTAAGACGCTTGTTTGCTTCCACGAGTGGTTGAAGGCCCAACGTAGAACTCAAGAAGTTAGCATCGCTCCCACCCGCAACTTTATGGAGGAAACAACAACCGACGGTGGCGGAGGTTCCGACTAATTATTATTTATTACAAAATGTATTTCATGTTTTAAATTTTCTCAATTCTCAATTGTAGTTCATATTTCAAAGGGATGTGAGATAAACCCCCAAACTTTCATATGTAATTTAAGCACCCCAAACTTTATATAAAAAGTTATTTTAACACCATGGTCATGTATCATTTCAACAATTTATGATGTTAATTGCATAATTTAAAATTGAAAATTGAAAACATTCCAATTTTATAGAATTTGGGGGGGTATACTATTTATTTTACAATGAAAGTTTAGAATGCTAATTGTATCTTCATGAATGCTAAAATGTTTTAAATTATGAAATTAACACCAAATATTAACATTTTTGAAAAAAATAATACAAGATCATGGTGCAAAAATAACTTTTAATATAAAGTTTGTGGTATTTAAATTACATATACAAGTTTAGGGTGTTTACCTAGTTACCTCACACCCTTTCAAAGTTTGGGATATTTTAATTATTTTGTGGTAATTACCCGTTTAGACCACTTTTGTACTCCAAATTTCATTTATGTCCACCAACTTAAAACTTTTCATTAGGGTGTGCAATTCGGTTTACGGTTCGGTTTTCTTCGGTTTCGGTTCGGTTTCGGTTTATTCGGGTTGGGAGAATTTGTACCAAACTAAAACCATTTGTGTTTCGGTTCGGTTTGAAGTTCGGTTTACCAAAGTAAAAAATATTATGTTTAATTTAGTTTGATTTGATTCGTTTGCTTATGTTTATTATTTTATTTGATCTAGTTCTATATTTTAGAATTAGAAAATGAAAGTAGTAGTCCATCTCGTCTTTTTTTATTTTATTGTTTATTTAAATAAAATGTAAAAGGAAATAAAAGATAGAAAAATAAATAAGAAAATATTATAAATTAAAACTTCTAACATCTTTTTTATCACTACAAAAAATTCACTTCTTACAAAAAATAAGATAGTTGATTAGCATTTATAATATCACATAAAATATTCAAAAAAAAACCTCAAAGAGTAGTGGTACAAATGTTGTAATATTTACAATTTTATTCAAATGAATCATGTAAAAATATAAATGCAATTTGCTATTGTTATTGCCAAACGTAATAAACACAAATATGTCGTATTAACTAACTTTGTCATAATGAATGTATGAAATGTGTAAAAGTTAAAATAATACGAGTATATGCTTTTTTTTTTTTTTTTTTAATTCAACAACCACCCATTTCAACGAGCAGACAGTTGGTGCAAAGAAGAAATCACATTACATACAGCAAATAGTAGTGGTTACACACACACGTATATGCTAATCCAAGAGGCCAGCTTGTCTGTAACTTTCTACTGAATCTTTAAGAGTTTCCTTAAGAGGCCGAAAAGACCAGCCCAGCCCCTGCAGCCTTTGTGAAGTCACTTTGTGCTCTATGCCATTCCCTTCAGGCTTCGAGAAGCTCTTGGGGTATTTATAGTGTGGATACATTTCCTTCAACATTTCCACCATATCCTGAACACTTAGTGTATGAGCGTTGCATATGTATCTACCTTCAGCCTCAGGGTTCTCATAGGCTAGCAGCAGTGATTCGGCCACATCGCGTACATCCACCACAATTGGTGTCTTATTTTGAACCGTTTCAGATCCTTCTTTCAAAAGAGAGATGAGAACAGAGCTACTGGAATTAGGTGTCTGCTGTAGCATTGGGCCCAAAACAAGTGATGGGCAAACAGAAATCACATCAAGCCCATGTTTTTGTGCATACTGAAAGGCATCTCTTTCTGCTATTGTTTTCGAAAGACAATACCAGTTATTTGTTTCAGTGCAATATTTATCGTCGGACCAGCAAGACTCGTCCTTCACTTTATCAACAGGCCAGTTAGGGTTCATATAAACAGCAGCTACCGAGGACACAATTATTACGCGCTTCACATTTGTTTCAGAACAAGCCTTCAGTACATTATATGTACCCTTCACAGCAGGCTCCAATAGTTCCTTCTGAGCGGTGGAGAAGTCGGATATAAGGGCAAAGGGTACGGGGGAAGCAACATGGAATACGGCGTCGCATCCTGCCACAGCCCCAACCAGCGACTCGTAGTCCAGCAAGTCCGCCTTCATCAACTTCAATTTCCCTGACATTGACGATGCAGCAGCTCCTTCCAGCTTCTTCAAGTGACCATACTTTACCACATCTCCTGCGGCGTCTCCTCGAACGGTGCCGTGAACAGTGTAGCCCTTGGAGAGAAGAAGCTTGACCAGCCATGATGCGACGTATCCTCCTGCCCCCGTCACGCACACCGCCGCCCCCTCCTCCGCCGCCGCCGTCATTGCCCGCCCAACCTTGTGACTCGTGATTATGATGATGGATTAGTTACAACTAATCAAGCACTTGAATACGAGTATATGCTTAAATATGTATTTTCATTTCTAAATTATTTATTTATATCTTAAAAATGAAGAGTGAATATAAATACAAAGTATATATATGTGTTGTTCGGTGTTCGGTTCGGTTTGCGGTTTTTCAAACCATAAACCATTCGGTTTGAGCAAATGTTTACCAAACGGTTTACTTAAGTAAACCCAAACCAAACCAAACCAAACCACCAATTTTAATAATATATGAAAGTTTTTTTGAGTTTCTTTAGTTCGGTTCGGTTTTGTTCGGTTTTTATCGGTTTCGGTCCGGTTTAATACGGTTTGGAAGAAATAGTACCAAACTCAAACCAAATTACATATGGTCCGGTTTCAGTTCGGTTTGGTACGGTTCGGTTAAACCAAACCGTTATGCCCACCCCTAGTTTTCATATTTCAACTTTCAACTTTTCACTTTTATTTTTTTATTTCAAAAATAGCCTAGATCCTAAACCCAATCAAATCTAAAAACCAAAACCTGGCTCTGCATATCTGTCATCTCTCACTCAGGGCCTGTTTGGATGGAGTGTTTGGAAGTGTTAGTAATGGAAGTGTTAGTAAGTGTTAGTAAGGGCTCGGAAGGGAAGGGAATGGAAATGTAAGTGTTAGACATAATTTTACCTTGTTTGGGAGAGTAAAATGAATGAAGTGTTAATAATGGAAGTGTTAATAATTTTACCTTGAGGCAAAAGAAACGAGTAAAGAGAAGAGATGAAAATACAAACCATTAGAGCTGTGGGAAAGACATTCGAAGTGAAATGTCGAAGCATTTTATGTTTTTCGGGTAAATGAGAAAGATAATAATTGTCCAACACCTCAAAACACTCCAAATCGGGGTGTTAAAAAATGGACAATTGAGGTGTTGGGAAGGTTATTATTAACACTTTCTAAACATTACTAACACTTCTTAACACTGGATTTTTCTCTCAAACAAGTGTCAAGATTTTTCTTAACACTTACTAAGACTTCCATTACTCACCCCAGTTCCCTCGATCTTGTCGATCAATTTTCTCAATCGTCTCTCTCAGAGGTGTCACTTTAACCGCAACACCATCGCTATGGTAATCCATCTCAACCTGTCTTCTCCCATCCTCAATTCGATTTCATCATCATCTGGCTCTGCGAATCTTCAATCGATCCCCATCAATCGTTCATCGTCGTCACCTACCAAGTCTTCCATCGGTGCGACACCTCCAACATCCGCCATCTGCCACAGCTAGTCAGCTTTCTGCTACCTTGCTAGTCCGCAGTTTGATACTAAGTTTTATTCTATTTTTGCATTTATTTTTTTATTTTAGGTATTTGTTTTAGGATTTCGTCTTTAATTTTTATTTGAGCCTTAATTATATTTTACACATTAGTTATTACTCGACACTCGTCTGCAGTTTGTTTTAAGTTATTTCACTTTCAGTTTCAGCCTTATTTTTTTCTTTGAGTCTTTCACCGCGATTTAAACCTAAGAGATTCATTTTCTCTTTTTTGTTTTTTAGTTGTTGAACTAAAGTAATGCATTATTGCTTTCATAAAAGATTAGCTTCGGTCTTTAATTTTTAGTTTCAACTTTAGTTTGTTTTTGTTTTGAGCCTTTGACTACCGTGATTGAATCAGAATCTAAGAGCTGAGCTTCTTGTTTTTCTTTTTGGTTTTTTAGTTTGTGAACTAAAGTAATGCAATCTAAATTTCATAGAAATATTAGCATTGATCACTGTTAATATGTGCTTGAAGTTTCAAGCGGTTGGTTGTTCTTCTTCAGTGCCATGAGAATCACCATAAAAAGTAATTTTTGTAGTGTGTTACATAGTTGCAATTCATGATGATATTATCAGACTACTTTTTGCTGCAGGAATTGTCTGATTCAATGTATTTTCTTTATGCAGATTGAAATCTTTTTGAGAGAATAATGAAATGGATGAAAATGAATAGAGTTGTCATTTAAATGATACATTAATACTCTAAAGGTGAGAAATATACATGTTGTAGTTTTTTTTTGTGGTTTCTGGGAGTGTTCTTTGTTTGCATAATTGTGGATTTTAATTTCACCTTCTGCAGTTCACTTTTTATACTTATAATTATATATCACACATTGCTTTTTGAGGGAGAAGTAGAATGTTTGTCAAAAGTGAAGGTTTCCAAAGTGGAACGAAGCAAGATAAAGAAAAAACGAAGTGTATGTTTATACGCCCTGTATTCCCAGAGGAATTACTACCGCTTAGAGAATGGGAGGATGAGTTGTTTGTTGTTTTCTCACAGTTGAGACTGGGTTTATCACAAATAGAAGACATCAGTGTTAACATTTCTAGTCTACTGCCCTCAATTTATGTTCATCAGGAATAACAACTGTCACATCACCTCACAGAAGGCATCATTGAAGATACCGGTAACACAACATGAGGAGATGATCACATCCAAACTAATGAAGGTGACAAGTATTGTGTGACATCCATACTAACACAACATTAGTATGCTCCAATTGGTTGTTTATTTAATCATATTTGTGTCATAGTGATTGTATTTTTATTGCAGGTGTGTGAAACAAAAAGAACCACATCAAGGTGATAGTGAGAAGGAGAAGATTGATGAGGAAAATAAGACATGAGAAACAAATCACAAGAACCGTGTGTTGAGATGTAATAAATGATAAGAAGCAAGCAAAAATAATATCTTTATTGTAAAATTATATATGTTATATTTGTTGATTATTGTTGTATTGTATATGTTGCTATTTGTTGCGTTGTGTTATTTTTTGTTGCATCGTGTTGCTTTTTGTTGCATATTTTATTTATTGTTGTTTATAAGTTTAAATTTGCTACTTGTCATTTATTTAAATTTTTACTTCTTTGCTACTTATTTAGATTAAAAAAGTCATATAGATAGTATAAATTTATGTACAATCACCTGAAATGAGAAAATTCGATTTACAAATATATAAAATGTGTTATTTTTTGTTGCATCGTGTTGTTTTTTGTTGCATCGTGTTGTTTTTTGTTACATCGTGTTGCTTTTATTTTCATTGTTTATTTATGTTTCTATTAATCTTGGCTATTCTTTTTGAATAAAAATACTCACACACACATGTGATCATGTATCATAATAAACATGAACTTATGAGCATAAACAACAAGAAACATGGAGGGACAATAACAAACAAAAAAATCAAATTTATCAACAAAAATAAACAGACTAAGAAACTATGTAAAACAAAAAGTAGCATTGAAAGATAATGCAAATAATAATTATTAAAATTTATAGCAATTTTAAAAAATGATAAATTATAAAATTTAATATTCTCTTTTTTTCAATTTTATTTCATCTATAATTTGTAACTTTTTTTATTTGTATATTGTACACGCTTCTTAGTTTCTTTAATTTTACGATTTTTAACAATTTAATAACGATATTCTTTTTTTTTATTTTAGGAATCTAATTTCAATTTTGTGATTATTTCTCTCTTTTCTACGTTTTTTATTATTACTTTTTTTTAGTTTTTTAAAACTTTTCATTTTATTTTTTTTATTTTTTAAACTTTTGATTGTTTTCATTTGTATACTCCGTATAAATTATATTAACTACTGAATACTGGATATAATAAAATTTGTATATTGTACTTCTTTACTATTTTCCACATTTTTAACTATGTTAAAATTTTACAGTGTTATTTTTTTTATCTTTCTATTTCTAGATTTTAAATATGTTTTTTACCCCCTTTCTGTTTTTTTTAAATTCAATTCATTTTCTTTATTTTTATAACTCTTCAATTTCGCATTTTTAATGCAGTTTTTTTATATCTTTTGTTTGTAACTTCGAGTTTTTATTCAGCAAGTATTATCACATGTTTTAGTGTTTAATGAATTGTCACAATTTTTTCATTGTCAAACTATGTTATTGTAATCTATACATGTGCTTGAGAACTCTCTATGTATTTTGTTTATAATTTTTAAGATCTTAGATTATATCGATCTATATACTTTTTCTTTTGTAAATACTCCCTCCGTCCCTATTATATCTTCCAAATAGGTTTGGCACAAAGTTTAAGATAGTGGGTATTGTGTGGTGGAGAGTTGTGCAGAGGAGAGAGAAATGTGTAAGAATTGCTATGTGTAAGAAGGGGTTAGGACAAAAATAAAAGTAAAAATCAACAAATGGACATAAAAGACATCCGCTTATGAATTTCCGAAAAAGAGACTAAACATAATTAAGAAGACCATTATACCCTGCCACTTGATTTATTATAACAAAATGACCCACGGTTGATTAGTTGTAACAATGACACGTCAGCCAGTGACATCAGCCGTCGGTCCACAGTGACTTCCGCCGGCCGTCCACAGTGACCTCCGCCGCCGGCCACAGTGACCTCCGTCGCCGGACAGTGACCTCCGTCACGGTCACAGTGACCTCCGTCGCCAGCCAGTGACCTCCGTCACGGCCGGCCACAGTGACCTCCATCGCCGGATAGCCAGAGTGACCTCCGTCACCGGCCAATGACCATTGTCCCGTCCAGTAACAGCCATCCCCCCCCCCCCAACTCCTCCCCAACTCCCCAACCCCCACCCACCAGAGCCCCAACCATGTCCCCTGTTGCCCTGCCCCAACCAAAAAACCCTCTCCAACCTTGCCCAGCCCTAAACCCTGCCACTGTCAGCCCCAGTCCACCACCCCAACCTCCTGTAAGATAGCCGCTCAACAACATGCCCGCTTCTTCGAATCGCCCGGCACCGCCCCAATCCCTCCTCCGCTTAACCCTTGCAGCCGCGAATCCCACCCCAGAAACCCTATTCGTCGCCGTCATTGACCTTACCCTAACGCCGTTGTGTCCTCGTCGCCTCCACCGACGGACATCAGATAGAAAATGAAGAGAAAGAATTAATGGTGGAGGCGGCGAATGAAGATGGGCACGACAATTAAAGCAGGGCGGCATCGATTGAAGCAGGGCGGCA